TTTAAAAAAACTATAGAGATTCTTAATTTTATATTTAATTAGGTGCAATTTATTTAGGAGTTAATAATATCACAATATTTTTTCTGTAATGTGTAAATGAGTAAATTAGACAAAAATTATCTGATCCTGACCCCAATCCCGAATAAGACGAGTATGAGAGGCAAAAATAAAAACTGAGCCAATTCCCCTGATAATCGTCCCTATAAACAAATTTGAATAATAAGAAAACTTTTGATAAACTTTTTTCAATCATAATATTTTATAATTTGTTATCTTAAAAAAAAAAACAACTTTTAAGAATCAGTTTGTTTTTTAAAATATTCTAAACGTCAACATAACAATGATAGAGATAAGTCCTTCATAATGTGGATAGGAGATAAATGCAAATATGCGTAAAGTGGTCCTTTTAACTTTATCATAAGAACAAATTCATGTACGAGTTTTATGCAATAAGCAAATGTTGCACAAGCTTTAAGTACATGTATGTCGTTTTTTGAGGGATTTCCCCTATAAGGATCGAGAGCATAATATGTGCTTTTGATAACAAATTAATCCCCTTAGATCAAATGACAAACCTACTGGAGGATTTCGACAAAATTGAGGCAGAATCAAGGCAAACCATTGAAATAGCGTTGACCGGAACATGTTTCGATGATTGACCTTGAACTAATTAGGGCTCGTTCATTTCACCGATTCGAGTTTTCAATTTTAGATTTTTATAGTAAAAAGCTCTCAGAAAATGTCTCATATAACTTTTTCTACTACAATAAAAAGCTCTCAGAAAATGTCACATCTCAGCTCGAATTAAAAACTTGAATCTGCAAAATAAACGAGACCTAAGAGATTGAGATCGAAAGATTGTGGTTCGATCATTGATTTGACGTCTATCACGAGTAATATAACGATTCAAGGTCTGACCATGAGTAATATACAAACTTGGTTCCACCTCTTTTCTTTTAGTCTCTTTCTAAAACTTTGATATTCTCTACTCTTAAAATTGTTTATGCGACTTGAGCGATGAAGTGTCTTTTATAGAGGCACCCCAATGCTCCATGGTGAGGCGCAGCTGAAAGCGATATCACAAGTAGAGTAATATTGATGTTGACAAATCATGGAAAAAAAGATTAAAGCAAAAAAAAAAAAAAAAAAAAAAAAAAAAAAAAAAAAAAAAAAGGAACTAGCAAAAGATATATAGCATGAATTTATAAAATTCAAAGTATTATTCTAAAGCTTTCTTTAAAATGATTCTTAAAAATAAAAAAAATCTTCCAACGGAAGCTACTTCATAAATTAATTCCTGTCGCAAGTAATTTTCAAGAAGAAAATACAGGGAAAAGCAAAGAGGAGAGAAGAAAGTACAAAAGAAAAAAGAAATAAAAAGGTAAGTTGCAGCTACAATCTTATACTCACAGTGATTTTAGTGCTTAGATGAAGGTCCATATGCCCTTTTCTTTCGGCATTTAAATTCTAACTTCTTCTAGACATGTTCATCGGTCTCATTGCACCTGCTATGGTCCATTTCAATGAATTGAAACCTTGAAGACTGCCGCATGCAACATTCCCAAACGTTGAGGGTATAAATACAGAGAGAAAAATATTTTTGGGCTAAAGTTTCAAACGTTTCAGAAGTTGGGGACTGTTGGTGAAATTCATACACCGAAACAAAAACTACGATTTGAAATGCTCAATCGTCACAGAAAACGTGGCAAGATATCTTAGCGAGTTGTAGTTTTGCCTCTACGCGCGAAATTTAGAAAACCCTCGGTTTTTTTTTCTTCTTTTTTTTTTCTCAATATAAATTCTTTTATTTTCATGCATAAAAAGGGACAGAGAAAAGGGCATGTCTATGGTGGGGGATGTACTTTCCCATTCGACCCTTCTGGTAGGGGCCAAATTATGACTGTTAGATGAAAATGCTCTGTTCATTTTACCGATTTGAGTTTAGAATTCGAGTTTTGTTACAGTAAAAAACTCTCAGAAATAATCACATCTAACTTTTTTGCTACAGTAAAAAGTTCTCACATAAAGTCACATCTTAACTCGAATTAAAAACTCGAATCAACGAATCTTTTCTAAATTAATGCGACGTTTAATTCATAAATTTAAAATTATGATTTATGATTTTAATTTTTAAAATTTAAATTTTTTATGAGAAAAATATATTATTAAAAATTAAAAATTATGATTCAAGATTAAACAGGAACCTTAAAATAAACATCTCATAAAGCACCCATAATCTCCATCCACCATCGAAACCAAACCCTTTCCCCTAAAGATCTCCTTAGTCTCCTTCGTCGTCTTCGGACTTCTGAGGCGTGAAGAAGCCGCCTCCCAAAGGATCGTGAATCTGCAACTGCGAACGCCGCCGGTGCAAATCCTTTTCCATCTCAGTGCTCTCATCAATTTCCACCGGTAGGAATCCTTTTCCTTCAACGCTTATCTCCGGCAATGGCAATTATATTTCATTTTATCCTTGCTTTGCTTCTTGCTTGGAACTCGCTAAGGGGGAGGAAAATTTAAAAGAAAAAAATTGAAAGAGAAAAGATGCCCGAGATTTTGTTTTGATGAAGGAAATTTTTTTGTAATGAAAGGTGTGTTTAGTAAGGGGATTCGTATCCTGATTCGAATCATGGTTCATAGTTCGCTACAGTGTTTTCTCTCATAAAAAATACACGTAAATAAAAAATGATTCTAATATCATGATTCTAATCCATGAACCAAACGTCTCCGAAAACTTCATCGCAAGCTGGAAGAGGGAGTGAGAGGAGGGAAGAGCAGGGAAGGGAGAGGAGGGAAAAGCAGGGAAGGGAGAGGTTTATTCTTTTTTCTCTTTTTTTTAATTGTTTAATAATGTGCAATTTGAGTTTTGATGTACGAGTGCATTTCTTCAATCTAAGAAGACGTTTAGCTCATAGATTAGAATTATGAGATTAGAATTATTTTTGATTTACATATATTTTTTGTGAGAAAAAACACTGTAGCAAACCATGAACTATGATTCGAATCAGGATACGAATCCCCTTACTAAACGTCCTTTAAACCATTGACAACTAATTAGACGGCTTATAAATTCTCACCCTACCAGTAGGAGAAAGTACATCTCCTGCCATAGATTTTCCCCAGAAAAAAATAAGAAGAAGAAAAAATGAATAATCAATTTCAATCAAATTTTGCGTGCGGGGAGGAAGTATTGAGGGGGAAAAAATAATTCGAGTGTAAATTAGAATAGTAAATTCAAAAATTCTTAAAAGGTTTAGGATATATTTATCTCACAACTCAAGTTAAGAACTTAAATTGTGTATGTGAGAAAAAAATACTATAATAAAAAAGTTAAATTTGAATTTTTATAAGAAAAAAACACTGTAACAATAGAATTTGAGTAGTAACTTGAGTTATGAAAATAATAATGTCACCGTTTACTTCACCGATTCAAGTTTAGAATTTGAGTTTTGCTACAGTAAAAAGTTCTCAGAAATAGTTATATCTAACTTTTTTGCTACAGTAAAAAGCTCTTACGTAAAATCACATCTCAACTCGAATTACAAACTCGAATCAGTGAAGTGAACGGGTTATGCCCCCACAAAAAAAATATTCATGCCCCCACAAAAAAATCTCTCATAAAAAAACAAGAGAAGTTATGGTAGAGTAAAAAAGCACGGAGATTTCCATTTTATAACCTATAAAAAGAATTACTAATAGGTATATATTTTTCAACCGACGGATTTGTAATTGTCAGTTCTACATGATTTTTAACGATTAAAAATTACATTATTATGAGTCTAAGCGAAGATGTTAATGGCCATAGAGCTACATGTTACATGCTCTTGATGGATCAAAAGCTTTCATCGTTTGTAGTGGTTATAAAAAGAGCCTTATGCGCGTGCTCAAATAGATGTGTTGAGGAATTTTCTCGATATTAGGTCTCATCTTATGTCGTTTTCCCTATGTTTCATTAGAATTTACTGATGGAATCGGTTTTTATTGAATATTTTGTATTGTGTATTACAAGATCATCCGTATTAATATTGATGTCTGTACGATTTTTAGTTGAATGCAATTATATCTTTAAAAAAAACACTACTTATAACAAGTCCAAGAGTGATCAACAAAAAAGTCCAAGAGTGGAAGGACTCATTTAAAACACCTCTATCTATAAAGTGTTTCTTTTTTTTAAACAAGTTAAGTTTTTTTTTTTTTTTTTTTTTTTATGTTTTTATTCTAATGGATAATATATTTCAAAATATGAAAATGCATTACAAACACCAATTCATACACATAGCGCCTATTATAAGAAAAATGATATTCTATCCTTAAACTTAAGAAAAAATAGTATATACCGAATTTCACAAAAAGCAAATAATTCAAAACGTTATAAAAAAAAATTAAGTACACACGTAGCTCTTTTGACATATTCTCTAGAGTTTATGGAAACAATCCGATAACAAGTATTGAGAAACCCATAACAAAGGCTAGATAGAAACTGCAATGAAACATTCATTATGGTTCAAAAAACAATAATTTAAACTAATTGGGTAAGTTTTCTCTTTGGCAATTTGATGTTCTAACTTGTGGACAAGTTAAGTTTTGGAGCATGGTATTTTCCTCAAATTCTGTTAATTAATAGTATAATTTAATTTGATTAATTAGGTATTTTAAACATTACATTAGAATTTTTTTTGGAACCCCAGAATTTTGAAAATAACGAAATCGAAAGGGAAATTAAAAATAAAAAAGGTACATTTAGTTGTGTATTTTCATATTTAATTTGCGGGTCTCTTTAGCCACGCGGAATTGCCGAAATTTTTTTTGGAAGCAATAGAGACAAACAACAAAAAGACCATTAATGGCCAACACATAAACACAAAACACACAAGAGAAGAGAGTCTCTCTCTCGCCTCTCTCTCTCTCTCTCTCTCTCTCTCTCTCTTCCCCTTGAATATATATAAATCCCAGGTAATAATAATACTCTTTTATTAACTTCAGGCTCGGGTTTTCGCGGTCCTTGTTTGTGTTTGTGTGTTTTGGTTTTAGTCGTGTTTCTTTTTCGAGATTGCAATCTGAAATCTGTTCTTGTTTCCTTTCGCTAATTTGGAGGGAAGCCCAACTTTTTATTTGTTTGAATTTGGTTGTTTCTAGAGACATTTTGCTCGGAAATCTCAATTGGGTATGTGTGGGTTTTTTGGTCTCTTCTGTTCTCAACTTTTCTGGGTTTTGTTTTTTCTTTTGATTTACTATTGGTTTTGGAGGCTCGAAACCATATTTTTTTATTCTATTTTTTATTATTTAAGTGGAAGGGAAATTTTTTTTTTTTTGGAGACTCAGACTTGCATTGCTTGTGATTGTTTATTTCATAGTTTGGGTTGATTTGATTTGATGGGTAAGTTTCGTTTTGTTTGCTTTGACGGAAAACACAATGGGAAAGGTATAGTGTTTCTTTTTTTTATGATGCGTCAGTTTTTGTGGTTTTGGCAATTGCAATCCAAAAATGGGTTCTTTGTTGGTTGGTTGAATTTAAATGAAACGAGTTTTTTCTTTATTTATTTTTTATTTAGGGGAATGGAAATTTCTTGTTCTGGTTTTAACAAAGGTCTTCAAAATTTGCTTTTTACTATCTTGTTTTTACTTACTGGGCTGAGTACTTTACATATTAAAGTCTCCATTGTTCATCCGGTGCATAATTTCTTCATTTTATTCTTGTTGTTGCTGCTTAATATAATGCTTATGAAATGCAATGTTTAGTTTTTTCATGGATTCCTTTCTTTCTGTTGTGGATTTTTTTTTTTTTTTTTTATATCAAAATTGGTTCTTGATTGAAAAAATGCAGGCATGTTTTGGAATTACTACCAACGATAATCATATTTTAGGGTGTAAACATTCATCTGAAAGGAGTTACTTTGCTTGAAATATTTAGTCAGCATAAAACACTAATAATATGAGTTTGGAAATTTGTCATATTTTCATGGTTTGTAGGTGCCTATATGTTTCCTTGACTTTTGTGTAGAGGTCAAAATATGTAGATTTGAAAACTCGTAACTCATTATACTGAATAATACTGTTCTGTTGATAAAAATTCAAACATTACTCTGAAACTAATAGAGAATGTGAATTATAGGTGCGGATAGTTTACATTAGTATCAGGAACTGTAGAAGGATAGAAATTTTCCAAAAAGTTCTCAGGTTTGCTTCTATTTTATTTCTTTATGTCTGACCACTGAGCAGTTTCTACTGCGAGTAGAGCCAAGAAAACAACCATTTCAGACCATTTTGCGAACGTCTTCTTGTTGAATTTGCTGCTTAAATTCTCATTTTCCCATCTCGGCCTTAACCGAATTTATTAGATTCGTACAAATGTTTTTGACTTGTGAATAATTTGTTTCATTTGATGTTCTTATTATCATTCTATTTGTTTTGACAGGCCTGATATATACTGAGAATTGAGAGTGTAATCACTTGGGTGTAATTCTCACGTCAGTTTAGAATCATATTTTCTGAGCTATAGAAACACTGGTAGATAAAACTTGTTAAGATGGCTCCTGGAGGCAGCACTTTCAAGGAAGTTCTCGAGTCCTACAGTACAACTTCAGATTATGATGTAGCGGTTAAATCAGAGTCCACAAGTGCAGTTACGAAGGCCGCCTCTGGTTTGGGTAGAAAAGTTGCAGTTTATTCTACCAATGGTGTGCATGAGCTACTTGAATGCCCTGTCTGCACAAATTTGATGTACCCCCCAATCCATCAGGTTTGTTAACAATATGAAGTTCCCACGCATTTTGCGCCCTCTCATTAGTCGATTGAATGAAGTCCAAACCATTCTTTTATCACTTAGTTGTTTCAATTGCTGAACTGAGTTCCACAAGTCCTTTATTCCTTTTTCTTTAAAAATGAATGGTTAACTCCATTATCCTATGATGGAGTAAATACTTGGCAGAAGCAAGTGTGAAAATAATTAAATTCTTTTATTTTCATAAGGTACTTTAGTGAGGTGTGTGGTCTTGGGGTTTAGATGAAATCGCTAGTTGATTCGACCATTCTTGTGCCGAAATATATGGTATATTCATGATGGTATAGAAAATATGATTTTGGCTGGCTGATTAGTTGATTTCTATATTTTGGAGTTATGTGGAATATTAATGTGAACCGTTCATCAGCAATATGATATAAAATCCTAACCTGTCTAATTTTCCTTTTTCCTTTTATGCGTTTTTTTCCCGTTTATATACTTTGTCTGCTTTATGAAAATTGGATGTATCACTCAGCTTCTTTTAGTGCTAAAGTAGTGAGATTGTGCTGCCATTTGTACCTGTATCTGCCTGACTCTATGCTTTTGTCCAAATCCTCTTCTCGCAGTGTCCAAATGGCCACACTTTATGTTTAAACTGCAAGGTTAGAGTGCATAATTGCTGCCCAACTTGCCATTATGATCTCGGAAATATAAGGTGTTTGGCTCTGGAGAAAATAGCCGAATCATTTGAGCTTCCCTGCACATACCAGAGTTTTGGTTGTCAGGACATTTTTCCATACTATAGCAAGCTCAAGCATGAGGAACACTGCAGGTTCCGTCCATACAAGTGCCCTTATGCAGGATCCGAGTGCCCTGTTACGGGTGATATCCCGAGCCTTGTTGCACATCTCAAGGATGATCACAAGGTTGACATGCATGATGGGTGTACTTTCAATCATCGATATGTCAAATCAAATCCGCATGAAGTTGAAAATGCAACTTGGATGCTGACGGTAGAGTTTTCTTCTCTCTTTTTTCTTCTAATACAGGGTCATAACCGTTTCTTATCCATTTTTTTCCCCTCCCCACCTTAGGATTGGAGTGAAAGTGACTTTTTACATTGTTTCATGATGGACTTCATTATGGTCTTTAAAGGATTAATTATTGTTCAAGTTATTTTTGTATTGTAATTTCAATAAAGATTGTTTCTTCTGTTTCACTTTCGTGCACACTGGGAGTCGGGGGTGGTAATATAATTCATAAACAAAGGAAAGAAACTATTAACCATGTCAAGCATACTATATCCTATGAAGGAGGGAGTAATAGGCAGCACATAAAGCTTTCTACTTGCTTTGCATTTCTAGGTGATAATTTATTGCTTTATTGGTTAAACTATTTGGAGTTTAATGATTTTGTATAAGGAGATTGATAAGTACCAACTTAAGAGAACAGCAAGATGATTGAGAAGTAAACTGAAAGTTGTATTAATGGAATCAGAAATTGGAAAAGATAGAAAGTACAGGAAAAGTAAGATAGATATTGAGCATTCGAGAGGCTCAATTCTCTCCCTGGGGAAGTGCTCCACTCAACTCACCGATTGCCTACCTATTTCCCACGCCACTTCCCATTTTATTCCCTTGCAACTAATTTCCCCAACTAACTAAGCAATTTCCCCAAATTGGCCTTAAGGTACCAACTGATTTTCCCCCCTCACGTGCTTGGCACGCCTAGCGTAAGTAAACCGAGTTGG